GGGTCGAAGAGCTGTGGGCATTCGGGAGTGCAGGATGATGCATGCCCAGGCTCTAGGCATTCAGCATCCCTGCAGGTAGGACATGGCCTGACACGTCCACACTTGCTTCCTCCTGCTTGGAAGCTAGCAGTCAAGGTGCCAGACTGTCCACCAGAGCTATGGGAACGGCTGTTTTATAAAGGGTCTAGAAAGTGATGGCAATTCTTTTAAAAAAAAAAAAAAAAAAAAAAAAAAAAAAGTGTCTTGAGAGAACCAGTTAGCCACCTTCTGTAACTGAATTTGCTCAAGAAAGAGGCCAGCTTCAGGTTCTGAACTGAACAGGGTCAGTCAGCTGGCAAAAGCTAATGCAGAGCTTCTAAGCCAGGGTCGAGGGCTGCTTACCAAGTCTTGGCAAGCCATCGAAAGCCACATGACAGGCAGCCAGGGGCAGATATATTAATTTTATAAATTTTTAGGGGCCCTGCAGGCTGGATAGAATGACCTGGCGGGCCACACCTGGCCCACGGGCTGCATTTTGCCCACCCGTTCTAAGCAATTACTAGCCATTACATGAGGATTCAGTTAACTCACTTCTTCCTCAAGAAGTTAATTACTAGCAATTTAATGAAAGGGCCAGTGTGCTTGTATGCTGACCTATCCTGTGTCCCATCCCTTGGATCACTTCTTGTCTGTCAAGGAATTCACATTTTCAGAGCACCTCGGTTCAGCTCCAACCAGCAAATTAAGTTATTGGTATTGAGCAGGACTCAAAGCAGGCCGCGCTCAGACAACCCTCGCCCACGTAGTAGAGGATTCTTGGAAAAGTTGGAAACTTTGAAATAAAGGACTTATAGGCAAGTCGTAGTTGATACAACCCTTTTATTTTTTTTAAGAAAATATTCCAAAGTAATCTGATTTGAAAGGACTAATGCACTTCTTGACACCAGATGAATGTTCCTTTGTCATCAGATTTGCATGTCAAAATATATAGGCACAACGTATAAAAAAAAACAAAACCAAAACACAAAGTGAACTGCGAGTTTTGAGTGACTGTAGCAGTTCCTCCTCTCACAGTTGACATAATTGGCACAATATAACATTAATGACTCAGTACTTACATAACCATACAAACTTTTACAGCATTAGTACAAAAGGATTACTCAGGGATGCAGGGCCAAGCTTTCTTAACAAGCGGCCGGAAGGAGACTTCACAGCTAATGAGGTAGCAGTCTTCAGGCTGTAAGAGGTCAAGTACTAGAAGGACAGTTGGGTTCTTCACCATTCCACTGGTTTCACAGATCAACATTGGTCTACAATAAAAGTTTGGAGCAGTTAGTGATTCTGCTAGAGGACTACAAGGCTACTTATAAACCCAAAATTAAACAGTTGTGCTGTTCTCAAACAATGCTATGGCAGCACCCCTAAGAATGAAGTGGGTTTTCCATCTATTGTAATGTGCATGAGATTAGTTTTGAAAACATGGCAATAATTTCTGGGCAGGAGAAACATGTTAAAAAGTATTTCTTCCTAACTCTCCACTAGGGCAATCTACTCAAGCCTTTTATGCACGCAAGGAGCGCATCCGGATGAGTGCAGACATGCGGTATGTGGTGCTGCAGATGTGTATGCGGCACTGCATGCCACATGCGTGGGTGTTCCCCAGGTTGTTACTTTGCAGGGGGATGATCTGGGGAGATCCTGGGGTCAAAAACCCCCACACCTAAAAAAACAAAAAAAAAAAACCCCACAAAAAAGCCAAACAAAAAACCGCAGGGCGGTGCACATGGAGACAGCGTGCGCTGCCCAAAACCAGCCTGGCAGGTCGGCTCCACGTCCCAGCGGCTGGCTAGGCTCCCTGCGGCAGGAATGTTGTGGCTGCAGCTCCCGGAAGCCCCCAGGACCCCAGATAAGGCCACTGGGGCCAGCACAGTTGCTGGCCGAGCCTCCCTGACCCACTGGGGTAAGCATGCATGAGCATTCATAGCATGGGCATTCCCTGGGGACAAGCAGCAGTGGAGCAAGGTGTACTTGTCCCTGGGGAAACGCACCTTCCTGCTCATAAGGATGTGCCCGAGAGCTCTTCCTAGAGAGAGTGTTTGGCTCACAATGAGAGGTATAGAAACAGGATCCTTTGAATGAGCACGAATGGTGAGCTGGTTATAGACCAGTCTCTCCCGAGCGCAGCAAGCAACCTAAAACTGTCCAGACAGAACAGGACACAGGACTGCATCTTAACTGTTAGCACCGAGAAGTGACGTCCAAAATTCAGCCAGGGTAGAAATAGCCAGTAGCAATGTGCATGAAGTATGGGTGCTGAGCTTATAAAGGCAGGGACTTGCTCGGAGCCAAAACAAGTTTTGAGTGAGAGGCTTTCAAATTCCTCTTGCAGCAGCAGTACAGTAGCACGTGCTGGAGGCACAACACTCACACCCTTTGAGACGAGAAGCAGCGGGGAACGGTACGCGCTACTCACCAGTGTTTGAGGAGAAACTCTAAACATGCTCTAGGAGGTCTACAGTGATCTACACAACTAGCACGCTGTTCAAGTAAAGCTGGCTTAACGACTCTCTTACCGCCAGGCTTTACTGAGAGAGTCCTTGTGTACGGCATCGCGACTTGGGAAATGCTCTCTGTCGTTCTCTCGGGGGACTGGACAACTCCCGTCGGAGCAGCCTAGAGAATGGGGAAAAGGCGGTAGTTAAGCTTGGGTGAACATGCCGAGCTGCCTGTGTGATGAGTTATACAGCAAGGGTGGTGTAATTCTCCATCTCTAAATGAGTTTTGGTTAGAGAACCTGAGCCGGGAAAACCTATTACGGTCGATGCTCCCGTACACACAAACATGCCGGCTAGGGAAGTCCAGCAAGAAGTTTATAAATGAAAGCTGAGGTGGTTTGGGCCCCCTGCCTCCAACCCACTTCATTGCATATGGGCAAGTGGTCAGAAAACTGACCCCTGTGCCTTGAGCAAGTTGTTTTTCCTCTATGTTAGTAGGAAAGTAGTAGTCAAAAGCTGTCCCCGCCCCTAACAGGAGGTGTGCAAGAGTGGAGCAGCCCTACCTGGCCTGGAAATGGATGAGACCATGGGCAGAGACAGGTTTGACCACTGCTTCCAACTGACTTGATCCTGCTTTGAGCAGATCAGCCTCCCAGCCTCAGCTTCATCTACCGAATGGAAGTGGGACATAACTGTACCCAAGGCAGCGCTTTAAGGCAGCGCTTTAAACCAGGCCAGCTGGCAACCAAGATGAGCTGCAGAACAGACCCGAGGAAGGGGACCAAAAGCTCGTCTAGGTCCCTCCCAGCTATACACGTGGAGCGAGGAGATCACCCACACAAATTCTCGTCGGTGGGAGTAACCCTCCCGCATCCCCCACGAGACTTTGGTGCGCAAAGCAGACAAGTCAAGCTTTGCTGCATGTTACCTTGCAACAAGTTGCGTCATGGAGACCTAAAAGAAATGTTGAATTTGATCTAAATAGTTTTGTATTGATAGTCTTAGGAAGACGGAGGAAATTTGGAAGCTAGCTAGATTTCCCACTGGACTTGGCCAAGGAGAACTTGTCATGGCAGGAAAGTGCTCTAAACACAGGGCTCTGGGATGTCGTGTGCAGGTGACTCAGTCTCTGTTAGAGCTGGTCTGCTTTGTCTCCGATCATCCTGTCTTCAGAAATACTCTACAGCAGCCCGCAATCATGCCTAGAAAGCATTAAGTGTAACGATGCGGCTTTGCTCAAGGCAAGCTAGCAATCAGCTACAACGCTGGGATTTCAAATCGACCGAGCGTGACGTGGGAAGATGTTCTAAAGCATCACCTGGTTCTTTGTAAGATCAAGATCATCCTGAAGGGAGGAGAGGAGCCCCGATGAGCTTTGGGAGAGAAACAGGGAGTCAGAAGAAGCGCTGCAGACCAGTTCGTCTAGCGCATCGACTTGTCTCTTCAGGCTGTGCAGGGTCCCCTCCGTTTGCTGCTTTCCTTTAATTAATACTTCCACTTGCTTGGACATGCAATGTCGTAGCTGAGCCTGAAAGCAATTGTTAGTTCCCATTTATTACTCGGCTTCTATTTCATGTCTAGGGCTGTGCTTTTTAAAGATCCAAAGGCAGCATCTGTCTTCTCTAACACCAAGCGTGTCTCAGGGAAGAGCTCTAGATGGGGTTTATCTCAATTCTGGTGCTATTCCCATTTACAACGCTTGGGGCTGAGCTTGAGCGAGACTGTCAGGTTTAAGGCAATGCCTCATGCGAGTGTGTACTCGCAACCCTGTGCGGATGAGCAGTGCTGAGGATGCACGCTGAACCTGAAACCGTTCAGGTGACGTGGCAGTGCTCTGCCTTCCTCCACATCTCTCCCACCCCAGAAGGACAGGTGGCCATGTCGCAAAAGCGCATTTGATGGATCTTTCGAGAAGGATGAAATGATTGTTCATGCACCCCAAAGGAGGAAATCCTCAAGACATCATCTAGTGAAGCCCTAAACTAGATAAGCAGCGTGCTGCCCCGGGTGTGGAGAGGATGTGTACAACCTTGAGCCGATCTTCGTGGTGACGCAGCTTTTCCCGGAGTGCTTCTCCGCGCCAGTGTTCATCCTTTGGAAGCAGAATCGCGGTTAGCAGCCACAGGAAGTAGTTTTTAAACAACCAGCATCTATGCTAGACAGTACAGCTCACTGCGTCTTAAAGGGGACTAAATCCTTCACCCCTTCCCCATGATTTCAGAGGCATTTGGGGTTGGTAAAGACTATGGGATTGTGGCCACTTTAGTGACCAAAAAGTGACCAGGAAAATTAAAAATTTTAGCAATTGACAGGCCCATCTTAGTGTCATCCTGGGCTTTGAGGAACACACGAATTACTCGTGTTGGTGGAAGGGACAATAATGACATCATGGGCACACAACTTAAACTGGGTTGCATTAAACACTCGCATAAAGCCATTTTTCTTGCTCATCATTTTACCATTAGGTGGACTTTGGATAAATTAAGCTTCTCTTCAAACAACAGCTGTCTTTCTTCATTAGATGCAAATGGGAAATTCTCCTTTAAATCTTCTAATTCACACTGCAGCCCTTCCTTTACTTCAAAATCTGCTTCCAGCTCGTCCAGCAGCTCGGGAGGAGAGGGGCTTGATGATTTAAGCCCAGTTCGGATTTCATCTTTCACCTCCAATTTAAGCATCTTCACTGCATCCTTTATTTCTTGCTGTCTTTTTTCCAAATCTTCTTGCGTTTGAATCTAAAGAGCGGTGCAAACAGGCAGATTTGCATTCAGAAGCAGGATGACATCCATCTCTAATTTTTTCCATCAAATTAAACTGCTATTAACCAGTGCTTAATGTTAGAAGTACAGCAGCGCAAGGGGCCAGCCTAGCTCCTTGCTGCAATCAGGAATGAACTGAAGGAGCTTCGAGCATGTCAGTCTGCACTGCACAGCCACGCTCCGCTCCGCGAGACGCACCGGGAGTTTAGTGCCTCTCGCGTCTCTCAGCTTTTTTGCATTTCTCTGGACGTAGAGACCGATACTTAAATAATTCCTCTTCTCTCGGTCCTCTTGGGATGTGGTTTAGTTACTGAGAGAATTTCTCTGAGGAATTCTGTTACAAATGAGTGGGCAATGGTGTTCAGACAGTAAAATTACTCTAAGTTTTGGTCTAAGTAATAAAAGTGGGAATTTTTTTTGTGGGATTGCTACACACTTTTCAAGCCCGAAGCACAGGGTCAAAGGCAGAGCGTTTCTAAAATCGGGCGTGCAGTTTTCCTTTGGAAACCGATCCAGAAGTCTGACTGCGGCAAGCACGTGTGTCCCTAAGTGTCATGCAATATTTAATGGGCGGCCCTGACTTGGCACCAGGGACAAGCCAAACCAGCTTCAATTTTTCACTCTCTCCATGCGCGGATAATAAAGCTGGGCATCCATTCTGCATGTCAGCTCAGCGGTGGTTTCAGCACCCCTCCGAATCACCTTTTTCCCTTTTGGCAGACTGGTTTTAAAAAAAAAAAAGATATATTCAAGATCAACTAGATTAAACTGATGGGGGAAAAAAAAGTCTGCTTGGTTTTACTAATGTTCACTTGTCTGCAACACAAGGAGAAATGCAACATTTTCCTCTGCTGTAACGATCCAAACCATGTAGTTTCCTGCGATTCTTCCAGGAGCTTAAGGCTCAGTCCCCTGGTCCGAAATGTCAGTGCGAGTTTTATACAAGCCATGCCACAGCCCGAGAGCCCAAACAGGTTGTGCGCTGTGCAGACAAGTGTCAATGGATTTACTAATGATAACAATGAATGTAGGGAGGTAAAAGTGAGGACCACAGCTTGTTTAGAGTCTACATAACTTATTTCAAATATATAACTCCCACGCAAACGCTGCCTTTGAAGAGAATTAACTTGTGCTTAGGTGACAGGCGGTACCTGTGCCTTGAGGTCCAGATAATCCTGCTGGATCTGGCCGAGCTCCTTGATCAAGCGTTTGGCTCGTTTGTGGTTGCCTTGTGCCACTTGTTCTACAGCTGCCATTTCTTTCCTCAGATAGTTGTTTTTATGCTTTTGCTCCTAGGACACAGATGGGAAATCACAAAAGCTTTGATCTTTTTCTGTGTAAAAGATTTCTGAAAACGGGGAAACACAAAACCTAATACAACCACACAGCTGCCCCAGGTTAAAACAGTTTGTCCTGCCTGCTAGCTTAGTCAAAATGGGTTTAGCTGCGGGAGTCTCACAGGGCTGCACGGCAATGAGGACGTGCGGGTGAGCGACTTTGAAACCAGCTGCCTGAATTTCAGCACGTCTGGAGTTTCAAATACAGTATTTTTGTTCTTCCTTTCCCTTTAAAGAACACACATGGTCATGCAATTAAATGGCTTTTTACAGCAAAAAAAAATAAAACAAAAGATAAAGGCATACATGAAGTTCTCTCTCAAATTGGGTCCTTTGGGTTTGAATGGCTTCCTTCAGACCGATGACTTGTTTGTCTGCTTTTTCCCTCTCTGACATGATCTGATCTTGGAGACGGTTTAGCTCTGCCCTCAAGAGTCCAAGTTCTTCTTGGAGGGATACCATTTCTTTGGTTTTCTCCTGTAACTGCAACTCTTTTTCTGACAGCTTGTGACCTGGAATTACATTTAAAAAAGCAGTGCTCGTCACCGAAACACAGTGAATCCAGTAGTACTGGATGCATGACGTCTTTTGGAAGGGGAAAAAAAAAAAGCAGTGCAACGAAAGACCAGAACCGCTCATGTCTTCGTACATGAAAACTGATAGTTATTCAGTGCCAAGGGCCCTGCAACCTTTTTCACTTGAATGCTAGCGATTGCCACACTCGAATGCTAGTGATTGCCACACGGCTGGGTTGTTTCATGACCGAGATATTGAGCTGGACTGATGAAAATGAAGAAAGATGCCGACTTGAGACTACTTAAGACATGCGCATACCACTAAAAAACTGCAAGCAAGTCCTGAAATAAATTTCCATTGAACTTCCCTGTTAGAAACACTATGCAGGTTATGCTTGCATCCTCACCCAATTCCCAGCACGCTCTCAATTTCTTTTTTCAATCTATTTACTTTTCAAGTTCTGCACGCCTGCCTTGAGGAGTAACCCGAAAGAGCAGGAATCTCTGTTTTTATTCCTGTTCCCCAGACCAGGTGCTAGCATAGGTGCCTGATCTAACCCCCAGTTCGTTGCCCAAGGGCTTTGGGAGCTGACCTCACGTGCAGTCGCGGTTATAAACACAAGATGCATCTTACTGGTTTTTTGGACTCTTTCTTCAAGTGCTGCATACCAGCTCTCCTCCTTCTCCAGTTTCCTGATCCTTTCTTCCGTCATTCTTACTTTTGCAATTGCTTGTTCCAATGTATTTTGCTGGTCCATTAGCTCCTGCTCCAGTAATTGTTTCTGATTTTTCAGTTTAGTTGTACATTCAACTAATTTTTTCTCTTCAGACTCAGAGTCTTTCTTGAGGCATTGAAGAATCTATCAAAGACAGGATGTCAGATATGAACCTTTCTTCAGATGGTTACTTGAGGGACCACTAAAACCTCAATAAGAAAAGCTGCCATCACCACAGAGATCAAACAGGACCACAGGGGAAATTAAAAAAAACCCCTTAAACGTATTTCATATTTTACATAAACAAAATAACTTAGAGGGCTTCTGGGGAACAATACTAGTCCTTTGCTTAATTTTTTCCTGGTTTTGGTTGCGGACGTTCTACCTATGCGTCTGTTTCTCTCCATCATTTAATTCTAATATAAAATCATGGTAAGAAAAAACTTCCAATTACTAGAAAAACTGGGCATACCAAGTTTCCTAGTGTTATTTTGTTCAATATTGACATGCTGATACGTTGCACAGGACGGTACACGTGTTAGTATGTTATTTTAATGAAGCACTGCTGTTGGGACCGTACTGTACTGAACCGTGAACATGCACCCACAGCCCCCTTTTGCCAGTGGTAGTCTTGTAGAGGCTTAGACAATAAAAGCTTTTGGCTCAACAGATCAGAGTGAAACCTAGAGTCTCCTTACCACTTCTTGTTTGGCCACTTCCATTTCCCCCTCTTCGATCTCTCTCTGGAGCTGCTGTAATTGGTTCTCCTTCCTTTTCTGTCTCTCTTGGCAATCTTTACACTTCCTTAAACATTCACTGGTGACTTCTTCTAGGGTTGCCTGTTCTCTAAGCATCTCGTCCTGGCGCTTCGTGGTATTTTTCAGATCCTGTCATTGAGAAGGTCAAACAATTGCTAAAAATGAGTAATGTGTAAGCACCCTGTATTAAGCGGTTCTCTCACAGGGCTTACTCATCCGCCACCCTTACCGCACTGAACAGCTCCTTACTGAGCAGACCCCATTGCCATTCAGTACGTTAAAGCATTAAGAGCTCTAAGGCACTATTTTAAAAAGGTACGCAGATGAATGCCCCTCTCCTTTGCAAAAGCACTGTACTTCTGCAGAGCTCCTTGGGGGACTGCTTCTACTGCAAAATGGATATTTGTGTTATCGGTACCACCGCGGGAAGCTCTTCTTGGAACCGTGTCGGATGCTGGTGTGATCCAAACGACTCCAAGTTTATTTCAGATTCTTTCCTCTTACACAAAGCCTTATCTTCACCAAAACTAACCTGCTCTGCCAGCTGAACTTGCTGCCGGGAGTCGTTTAGTTCTTCCTTCAATATTTCAAGCTCTTCCTTTTTTTCTATAGAAAACAAAATACATTTGGTAAAAGAAAAGGAGATAACTTGAGCAGGCAAATCTGTGAAGTAACTGCACGCTCACAGAAACCTAGTTTCTAAAATATTATATATGTAGGTCTGTATGTATCAGATGTGAATGTACAGGGTCATCTTTTAAAACATTTTCTGCCATAAGTGATTTTTGACTAATTAACACAGATAATGGTTTAAATGCAAGTGAGGTTATATATGCCACACCTCAAAAAGTGGTGCAAAGTACCTTGAATTTGCTGTTGTATTACTGTCACGTCTCCATTCAATGATTTTTTTTGCTTCTTTAGTTGTTCAATTTCCTGTTGCAATTTTCTGACATCCAACCGCATTTTCTCTACATTGGACAGTGTAGCTTTGCTGCTATCTTCAGTAGTAGCTAAATTTCTGTAAAATGTGAAAGGTACAATCTTTTCCAAATGTTTGGCAAGGATTTTTTTTTTAAAGATAGCTATATTAGAACAGAATCACAGACAATGAGAGTTGGGACCTCAGGAGGTCACATCTAGTCCAACCCCCGCTCCAAGCAGGACCAGCCCCAACTCCATCATCCCAGCCAAGGCGTTGTCTGCCTGGGGCTTCAAAACCTCGAAGGATGGAGACTCCACCACCTCTCTGGGTAACCCGCTCCAGTGCTTCACCACCCTCCTCATGAGAGTTTTTCCTAATATCCAACCTCAACTCCCCTTGCTACCACTTAAAACCATTGCTCCTTTTATTTTTTTGAGAACGTAAAGGGGGTTTCTAATTTGACAGGAAATATTATTTCCATCCTAATTCAAAAATTCAAAGTGTTGTGGTTATTAATGTGTGTCATTATGCCGCCCTACAACTGCAGATATGGAAAATGCCCATCAATTCAGGTTTTGACCCAAAGGCAAAGTAGAGCTGCTTGAAATAGCAGGCCTCTACAGATTTGGAAAATACACCATATTTTAATTCTATTTATCCATTTTTTTAAGGAAAAGGAATTGTTCTTGCTATGAAGTTTAAACGTGTTGGCTCCCTAGTCACTGATCTTAAAAAGAAAAGTCTCTCTCACCTTTTGGTTTGTGACAATTTTATTTCCAAGCTCTGACAGTCTTCCTCAAGCTGCTGCTTTTCTCTGTTCAAAGATTCAGTGCTGTTTTGCAGAGCACGCACCTGGGACATTAACTGCTCGTTTTCTTGCTGGTTTTTCTCCAGTAGCTGCCTCTGCCACTCTACTTCCCCTCGCTGGCGCTGGGCCACTCGCTGGAGATTCTCTATCTCTAATTTCTCCTTTGAACAAGGACATAAAATGTCTAATAAGCTTGGATATTAAGAACAATTTAAATTAAGTTAATAACACCTTTTCTCATTTGCACAGTGCCCTCCATCTGCAAAGATCCAGGAGTGCACAGAAACCTGTATATGCAGAAATTGCTAATCCTGTTACTGAAGTATCTTGAAAAGGCAAAACCACTCAGGATGTTAGAAACAATCATGATTTATCTCATGATATACTTCACATTTCTAGGCACTGATTCACTTTGGAGAATGAGTTTATCCACCTCGTCCAAATCAATGGCTGCTGGTTTGGCTTAGAATCATAATCCTCTAGGGAACTGGAAAAAGTAGATTCCTTCTTCCTCAACTGTTTTATCAACTCCAAAAGAAACACTTACTTCCAGCACTGCAACTTGAGTCTTTTCCAATTCATTAAGTTTTTGGTCATGTTGTAGTTTCAAACCTTGCAGTTCATTGTTTTCAAGCTGCAACATTTCCAGAACGTGCTTCAGTTCTAGAAAGAGAAATCAAGACAGGTCTTAAAAAGAACCATTAAACAGGTGAAGTTTTGCCTTGCCAGGTAAAGTGTGAGGTTTGAGGGGGAAAAAACCAGCAGCAAGAGACCTGAAGAGAGTGATTAGTCTGAGAACAAGACTGCTTTTGGCCAGAACACTGGAGGAGGCCTCGGGTTGACTTTGGATTCTGTTATGTCCTTTTGAGTCAGGTCACTGGTCATTATACTGTTATACAGGATGAACGCTGCACGTCATGGTCTTTTCATGGGGTTCTGAGATTTATGTCATTCTAAATATATAGTCTTAATTTAAGGAAGAAAAACAGGAATCTCACTTTTGAGATTTTTTTTTTCAAATGTCTAACCCATGAGAACTCCTCTACAAAATTTCTCTTCTTCATTCAGGTGAAAAAAATGAATTATACACGTTTTAGCACTAATGCTTTATTTTTAATACTAATAACCTGAAACAGTCTAACAAACCAAACGAACCAAGACACCAGAATTCAATACATTCTAAGCCGGAGCAAAAGCATGTACCACACACACCATCAGAGCCATACCCGTCTTGTGCTTAGCAATTTGTCCAAGTATTCCTTGCAGATTTTCTTCCTCTCTCCCGGTGTCTTGCTTTATAAGGGAAAGCTGTGTTCTTTTTTCATTTATCTGGGCATTCAGTTCTCCTTTCTGCACACTCAGTTCTTCCAGCTGACACCTCACGTCCTATGAAAACAGTAAGTCATAGCTCCACTCATCCATGGGCTCTACTTGACAACAGAACCTAACGTACCCCAAACACTGCACCCACCAAAACAGGACAAGGGACTGAATCTATATTGCTGAAGTCCAAGGTTGTTCTACATGGAGCTAGATCAGGGCCACCACACATTAGGCATAACAAAACTGCAAGCCTGCCTTTTTTTTGAAGAAGGATTTCTTTAAAGCTTTGAAAGATGCTTTGACTTCTGTGCTGAACTAAGCCGCGCAGATAGTGAACAGAACATGGCAACAGACGGTTTACCCTTATCTGTCGTCGTTTTTCAGTCACGTCTGTCTCCCCATCTCGAAGAGCTTCTTTGAGGTCTGCTTTCCTTTGGGCAATGCAGTCTTGAAGGAGACGCAACTCTTCTTTCCTTTGATCCAGTTCTTGGTCCAAGAGCACCAGCTCTTGCTGTTGAGTGGTTATCTAAAGTACAGAACTTAATAAAAACCAAGGGCCTAAACAAACAAGTAACTAAAATATACTCATGGCTATATTAAAAATACACTGCCTCATCTAGGTATTGACAAACAGGGTCTTTTTGTTGGGCAGGTTTTGAAAAATACTTCTATTGTAGTAGCATCCAGTGGACAAAATGGGGGCAAGGAGCCACGCTGTACAAGGCACTCTACAGACACAGCATGAGTCCCTGGCTGAAAAGGCTTTCCCTCTACAGCTGCGAGTCCATAGATGTGTATACTCATTAGCAGCTTTACTCGCATGAATTTTCACTGGAGCTCAGTATAGTATTTATATGTGCCAGTGTTTCCAAGACTGAGGCCAAAGTTATCACAAAAGGCAACACAGGGAGGAGGCAAAAGAGTGAGATACTGATGACATACATGTGTCTATGCATATACAGATCTTCTTTTCAATACATATTTGCAGGACTTTTGAAATAAAAACCTATACAGCAAATACGTCAGACTAGGAGATTCAGAGCACAGTTCTTTTTTTCTTCTCAGTGCATGGAGGAGAAGACACCCCACCAAGCAGACTCCCCAAAAAAGGCCAAGAAACCTCCAAATCAACTGTGAACACACACTTCTTACCTGATCTGTTAATCTTTCCAGCTCATTTTTCTTGCCCTGCAGAACATTTTCTGCTTCTTTCAGGATCTGGAGATGATGATCTTCATTACCTTCTGCAACCTGAATGTCTGCTTGAAGCTTCTGAAGACTAACAATCAGATTAGAATACAGTTTAGAAGGAACAGAACCCATTACGTAGTCCTTCCCTTTGCCATTAGACAAATCTGAGGCATGCTTTACCCGTAAGTATTTAAGGTTAATTTGATATTTACCTTTCCGTCAAGATGTCTATCTTCTGGCCTAAGGACTGGAACTCAGAATCTCTCAATGACACGACTCTATTGATTTCCTTCAAGATACCTTCTTGTTCAATCTTGTGCTGCTCTAAATCCCTTGCATCTGCTTGGAGTAACCTAAAATACATTTAATATTTTTCATACCATCGCAGGCGTACCTATCTGAAAGCAACAGTTTATTTGCAACACATCCTCATTTGTTCTATCCATTTCAGAGACAGATATCGCACAGTCAAGCAAAATACGTGAAATATAAATGGAGTGTACCTTAGTTGCTGATCTGCTTTCACAAGCTTAACAGCCATCTCCTGAGCCCTTCGCTCCAACTCCTTTGCCTCAGCTTCGGTGTGAGACAAATGCTGTTTGGCATGATTGTACTTTTGAATAGTGTCTTTGGTCTGCACAAGAAATTGAGGATTATTTTAAAGGTACTGAAACAAGAGAAGCAGAAGAAACCTATATAGTGCTTGTTACTCGGGTAAGAAAGCTTCTAAGGACAGAAACCTGACACTGTTTGAATGAGATTTATTAATAAAGGAAAGACAGGGAGACAGATGATTAATATGCAAAATATTAAGTCATAAAATGTCTTTTCCAATGCCTTTTAAAACCCAGCATGGTAACTATTTCAGCATCTATGTACACGTAAATAAATAAGAACTTGCATTCACCTCTGTAATTAAAGGAAGTAAATGAACGATCTTAGGTCACGTATAACAATCTTTACCCAAATCTGCATTGGCTCACAAAAAGGAATATTTCATCCATTTAAAAAGAGGAACGAACAGGATACAGCATTTCGTAGAAGGGATCCAAGATCACACAACAACTTACCTTCCCCCGAGTAGTTTCAAGTTCGTTTTCAGCTTCTGCAAGAAGTCGATCTGCCTCCCTGAGCTCTGCCCGTCGTTTCAGAAGAGTCTGTTCTATGCATTCGACTTCATCCACGATGTCCTCATGGTGTCTGAGAGATTTTTCTAACTCTAGTTCTGTAATAAGGCTGTCAATATGCCCTTCAGTGAAGTTCCTAAAAGAAAAGGAAAAAAAACCATATCCACAATAAAACGAACATTTATAAAACCAAACAAGTAAAATTCAAATGGTCTGCCTGGTATCTCAGGAGCTGTACTCCCTTACACACAACTCAAACACAAGTTATCTACAGAAGTTTGGCAAAACCATCTTTACTAATAGGTTTTGAATAATAGATTTTGTGGGCACGTTTAAGTATATATCACCCTAATGCTCTTACTTGCGTTTGCTACGTTTCTCGGCTGCCGTACGTAGTTCTGCTACTTCACGTTCCAGTTCTTCCCTTTCACGTAGGAGATTGTCAATGTTCTGATGCAGTTTTTCCATTTCTTTATTATGTTTATGTACAGACATGCCTGGCCACGTATAGTCCCGTTTCTGAGACCTTAAATGATATACAATGTCTTCAAGCCTTGAGATTTCATTTTCCTAAATAGAGGGTGGGGAAAAAAAACCTTACTAAGGCAAAGCAAGTGCAACTCTCTTCACTGGCTCTCCCAAGCAGCTGTGTTCCATAGAAAGCAGCAGCTGCAGAGGCCTATGGTTGGACTATACATGACTGAAGATGCTCCGTCCTAGTTGACTGATTCCTGACTCTTGAATACTTAACATAATGCTGCACTACTCAAATAAAAGTGTAAGTTTTCCCCAGGAATAGTGCTTGTAAATAAACACACACCTGAACATGTACATTTACGTATCCCAGTAACACACAGGAAGAGGAAGGAAACCCAACTGGTCTCTATCATTTTATGATATTCAGCACTGAGGTTGCCCTCCAGAGGTGTCTTGAGTCTAAAAAAGCTGAGAACCACTGCTCTTCAGTGACCCAGTTGCATATGGCTGAACCTCTCCCGTGTACTTACCATGTCATGATGCTCAGGAACATTGCAGTGAAGCACTCCAAAAGGAATGAGGGGGACAGAAAAGTTAGCAGGAAGAGGGCCATAAACAACATGAGTTCCAGCAGGCGGTGGTCCATAGATAACTGTTCCAGGTGCAACTGGTCTACCATTCACTGGTCCAGAAGGAGGTGGTCCATAAACTACTGTCCCCTGGGGTACAGGGCCACCATCAGGAAGTACGGTATAAATAACAGAACCAGGAGGCGGTACAAAGGGAGGCTCCCTGGGAACATCCGTTTTGTCATCTCCTCCGCTATCTTCATCTCTTCCATCTTAAGACAGAAAGCGAAAATTGGAATTATAATCTCTTCTTAAATCAATGCTGTTGTTAACATACACTTCTCTGAAACAAAGGCCACAAGCACCACCATATATTACATGTTTACATTTAACATACAGCAAAATATTAATAAAACCCATTTTTACAATTAACCCATTTTAGAAATTCCACCTTGAACTCAAACTGGAGTTTGGTACTTTCTTGAACATCTGTGCGAGGAAAACCTACTTTTATTGGAATCTGATTTGTGCAACCTGCTTCTAACTGGTGAATACACCCAATATCCTCTTGCAGTGGGTGAGACAGAGTCTTCCTTCCTGATCTGCCTGCCCTGACCATGGGCCTTTCTAGCTGGGGATGAGCCAGGACACTGCAAGCCAACTCCAGAGTCTTTTGTGCTGTAAGAACCAGGAGTGGAGACCTAAAAAAATATCCAAAGAATAATGTATGTTAAGATTAAGTTTCCATTACGGAGGTTTCCAAACTGTGGCCTTCAAAGACCTTCCTGTCTCTCAGTGTTTGCTGCTGATTCAAGCTATTACTTTGCATGAAAAGAAAGCTAAATATACAAGAAATATTTGACTATTATTACTTCAATGCAATCAACTGGCAAGGCTACCACAGGGTTGTTACATTATCACATGCAAATAGAGGACAGACAGTACATTCTATAAAAATGCGATATGCACTACTAAGTCTCAGAAACCTTATTTTATTAGAAGAGTCTCCTTTTGATGCATTATTTTTTTTTATTATCAATAGCCAAGGAGGAAACAGTTATTAAAACTACATGAGGATGCCTATTATATTTCACTACAGTACCCTTTTGTCTATCCCTTTTGCTAATGTTTCTCCACTACTCATTAGCAGTTGACATTGATTTAAATGGGATATTAGACTATATCTCTTACAGTAAATTTAACAATGAAGATGTGTTTTACTCTGAGTATCTTTTAGCTGTCAAATACTTAATAAAAGAATTAAACTGAAGTTTGAATACAAATTGAGGACAGTAAGTGGGCAAAGCAGTTGTCCCATCTTTAAATAAGAATATTTTTTAGATTCTGTTATTCATTTGGGAATCCAAAAAAAAGTTTAGATCCTGACAGTTGCCATTTAAATTTACATGACTCTTGCATCCTTGGGCATTTTCTAAATTAAACTCTCCAGCATTCAGGGAGATGATGCTAATTTGTAGGGTGACTGGAAGTCTGTTGTGAAAGAATACATTTTGTGAAGAGCTGACTTGTTTGAAACTACACAGGCTTTAAATGTGAGCTAACCCTTACAGTACATGTTAGCGCTAGAGAGAATGTGGTAACTTCAATATGCAATGTTCAACTATCACACGTGTTTCAAAACCTTAATTAACAGCTAAAAACTGTCCTAATGGAGTTCTATGAACATTTTGTTTGGGAAGAGATCTTTGTATTTAGGGTGCTCTTACATTTAGAATTAGTGAAATTAATAATAGATTTTTTTCAAATCAAATTACTTTTTGCAAAATGTCATTTTAATTTATTTCCATACTTCTGATGATGGTGGCATATAATACCAATATCCTCTTCTTTTGAATGGATCTGCTATACTGCTGATGTAATCATTCTGATAAGAAAGGGCATGTCTGAGTGCTGCTATCTCATCCAGTAAGCTGTGTATTTCATCCTTGTTACCTGTAAAGAATTAAACAGTTTAAAAATTCTTTGAATAAGTAAAACTGAATGCCCCATAATTATACTTTGTGCTGAATGCAAGTTGTAGATGCAGAAACAAGAAGGATTACCTGCCCTGACATTATCTAATAACCTTCGCAGTCGTTCAATTTCTGCTTTCTGATGTTTCAGAGTCTGGTTTAATTTATCAAGATCAAACTTTTGAAAATCTGATGCAACAGCCTCAGCGTCAGCTCTCTCCATTTCATGCTGAAACTTAAAAAAAGAAGTGAATTTCAACTTTATTATAACTTAGATTAAAGCCTATTCATAGACAAGACAGTACTGCATGGCAAAATTACTATGACAAAGATGGCTTTCCCCCCACTCCAAATAATGGAGATCTTTTTACGAAGACCATTGTAAAAAGCCATTTATGACACGTGATATTTCAGCAGATTTTCACTTATGATTGACAGAAAGTAATATCTGGAAAACTCCAGCACCAAGCTAAAAAAAGAAATTTTCATCAGCGAGTCAATAATTTTTAAAATGTTAGGCTGACTTGTATATTAATTTAACCATGAGTCTAGTTCAAATCGATCTCCACATATCTGACATTCTCCCCTTGAGCTTTTATAACCTGATACAGCCAGCACAGCTTACCTGTTCTTCCTTTTCTTTTAGAAGTTGTTGCAACAATTCGATTTCCGCTTCTGCTCGGGCAAGATCACGAGCTGCATGAGCTGCCTGCATACAGAACTCCTCTGCTTCCTGAAATTCCTAAAGTACAAATCAGATTGGAACTTTAATTTTGAAGTTTGTTTTTATTTTATAGATACTGATGTCTCATGTACCACTGTAAACAGGATACTAATGATAAATGCTTATGCTCATCAACTATCTGAATTTCTTTACCAGTTTCATCTCTATCATTTGCATTACTGGCCTTATTCTTCTTACACGGTATGCAATCTGTCATGTAAAGTACTTTTTTGGGACATGGCTGCAGATCTGCACAGAGTGTGAAGCCTTAAGAACTTGCTCTCATTGTATCTTTGCTTGCTCTTATATTTCCTAACTCAAGTAAATATTTTATTACCACATTCCAGTTTTCAGATGCTACAGTAGTTGCTTTTCCCATCTACGTAGAAATTCCCTCTTCAAAACTGTTTTGAATGTAGACACCAAGCTTATCCGTCTTCAAATTTCCTAAGCTATATCAACAATTTATGTATTTTAAAGTAAGACTTGCCCCCAAATGAAGACTGTCTATATCAAGCTCCAGTATAGTTAAACATTGCTTAAATATAGCACCCAATTTAATATCCCTGCGCTGATGAATTCACCTCAGCTCGCTCTTGGTTAATTTTGAGAACGGTTCCGTGAAGAGCCTGCAGCTGATCTTTGGCAAGAGAGAGTTCGGTGGCTGCCAGTTTATCCGAAGCAACTATTGCTTTCTTTAATTCCTTCAGTTCTTTATCTAGGCCAAGAAATTGCATTTGTGCCTTGGCACCTTCCAACTTTTTCTGAAATGGGGAAAAAAGGGTTTGATAGTCATTTATTACTTTTAAAAATGTGTAAGATAAAGCTTTAAATATTGACATTACTTTTTTCCAGCCTTTCTATAAGCTATTTTATTGTACCATAGGAATCGTATGATTAGGCCCAACTTTATATAGCATTATCACGGGGGTTTTGTTTTTTCACTTGAGTATTTTTTAAATGCAAAGTATTTTAAAATAAAACACATTTTAAATATTAAACCAGAATAAAACTGAAATGATCTTACAAAGTGAGAGTTACATATGTAATATCTGAATACACATATGAGAACCTGCTGAATCTTTGGTCACTGATTTACAGTTTGCCAACATATTCTTTGCCGGTTGGCAGCGGGGTATTCTTATTTATGTCCGTATGCCGAGCCATTTTGTTCCACACTCTATTTGGAGAGACTACAACGACACGTACCCCTTTAGAGCCCAGGTAACATATACAAACCCTAGAAATCAAAGCATTTTAAAAGAAAGTTGCTTTTCCAAGCAACTGCATTCAGTCTGCATACTTGTTCCTCCTTATTCCCACCTTATTCTCTAAATCTTCCAGCTGAGCAAGAATTTTCTCCTTTTCCTCATCAGCTTCTTGAAGTTGTTGATCTGCAAGGCCCTGTATTTCTTCCATACTTTTTATTTTTTCATGTAAGTGTTGAATTTTCTTCTCTAACTGATGAAGCCTGCTCTCACTCTGCCTCTTCTCAGATTTAACCTGCAATCAAGGTAAATCCGAGGCAACATCATGAGACACTCGGTGCATGTTCTGATCAATATTCTTGCTGATTGTTAAAAATCTGATTGTCAGAACGTGCTATTAGCAACATACTGGTTACCAGACAGACAGAGAAAGAACCACTGGTACAATCGTGTCATATTTTAAAAACAGCTAAGTTATTTAGGAGCTTAAGTTCCCTAGGTACTTTTGAAAATGATACCCTGACCGTTACTTCTACTTTTTCTACCTGTATTTAGCTTTTAGGAGTCTAGATTTTGGTGAGGTACATACAATAAAGATAGCTGAAAAAAATCAACTCTACAGCTGTTTAATGCATGGGTGCTCAGCCCCCAGGCTGTGGGCCGACAAAGCAGTATCATCCGGCCTGCAGAACTCCCCATTTTAGCAAATTTTCCAAGTTTTGGCAGCGGGTGGAGCAGTGGCAGTGTTGCCGCATTTCTGCTGCCAAATTCCTGTTGGGAGCCCTGCAGGTGGATAGCATGGCCCTGCAGGCCAGATTAGGTGTGAGGCAGGATTTGGGCTGTCTGGGGCCTGATTTGGTAGCTAAACTTCATGGATTTGTGGACCAATCCCACACCACTCATCCAGCCCACAGGACCAAGAGGTTGAGCACTATCTTCAAGTAAGATACAAGTGTAAATCAAAGCAGTGCTCATACGCATCCATGCTTCCCTGCTTTACACACACTATTATATTCTGGATAATGGGAAAGCTGTTAATAAAGTACTCGGGATGAAAAATGTTATTTTTAACAATCTATATAGTCTCCCACTGATGGAGATAGTCACTGCTTAAGATAAACTGTTACTGTTACAAGAAGGTGAAATTTAGAAGCCACTGATCATGTGATTTACAATGCAATGCTAGGTGCTTCTATATTTCAGTTTTAGCACACTCATATCAGGCAAGCAAATATATTCATCTCTGTAATAAAGAATGATATTACTATTCTTTGAGAAACAGCCAGTACTCTGCTGAATTGGAGGTGTGATCCCTTTAGCTACCCCCCAGCAATTTTGTTCTTTCAGCTAGCTTGTCACTCTCTTGCTCTTGCTTCTGCAGCTTTGTTACATACCTGTCTGTATTTTTCCTTTGAATCTTCCAATATATCTTGCTGAGATGCCAGCTCTTCTTGTAGCTGCCTCTGTCTAGCCCATGCCTCCTCTTTTTCTTGCTGTGAATGAGCAAGGGTTTCACTGAATTGCTTCTGCAGGTCTGCAAGGCTTTTTCCTAAAGTGTCATTTGAATTATGACATCTGAAAAAACAATAATTCGTGTTACAAAGGGAGACGGCAGTCATTTTAATTCATGGTGCTAGATCTGGGCTTTTCTTAACCTACTAATCTAGTGCAGTGTTGTCCAACTGCTGCATGCTGGGGAAAGGGCTGGGGGAGACAGGGGTGGGGCATCTGATTAGACCAGGGGTGGGCAAAATGCAGCCCAGGGGCTAGATGCAGCCCGCCAGGCCATTCTATCTGGCCCGCGGGGCCCCTAAAAACTTTAGAAAATGAATAGTAATCTGCCCTGGGCTGCCTGTCATGTGGCCCTCGGTGGCTTGCCAAAACTCAGTAAGTGGCCCTCTGCCCAAAATAATTCCCCGTCCCTAGATCAGACCAAGAGTTTATGAACCATCCCAGGTTATTTAAACAGATGTGGAGCAGAGGTCTTGCTCTGACAGCCCAACCCACATAATATTTAAAATCGGTAGAGGTGTAGAGGGAAGATTTATGGGGACTGAGTGCAGGATTCTGCATAGCTGAACTAAGACACAAAGTCAGAGAAATGGCGTGTATGTTACTGCTCCTGCATATTTAAAGAGCTGATATGCACAGATTTAGTGTTAGTAATAAGTTATTTTACTCACCTAATATCTCCAGCTCCTGTCTGCAATTTTCGTTTGAGTTCACTTACACGAGCTAAGACTTCTTCAGGATGAATTAAGTTATCAATTGCATGGTTTAGCTGATTTTGAAGATCTTTAAGCTGTTGCTTCAAAAGGTTATTGTCTCCCTACAAAACAAGATTTACAGATTCAGCTTCCAGTGTTTTATAGACTCTGACATTTTCCCCAGTATAAAATTAATCTCTTCCTTGCAATTACTTCTGTTAAGGATATTTCAATGGCAATTCAAGAGCAAGCTCTGCTTTATTCTATTCTCTTCTTAGCATATAATGAATAAATACATCTTTGTATGTGCAAAACCTGTTGCCATAAAGGAGTTGATAACACAAGCAAACAAGAGAATTCTCATTTCACTAGAGAACTCAATGTGAGAAGCTTCTCTGAAACACACAGCTACTAGTGTCAACAATCAGACTCGTACAAAGACACAGAATATACAAATATACACAGAACCCAAAATTATCCTATTAAGAGATCAAGACAAGAATGATTTTTAGCAAGACTCATATGTGCTTTGCTGTTTCCAAAATTGGTCCTTTCTTTATTATTAATTCCCTTTCGTCTCAGAGCCTTATTGAGGACTGATTACTGTTTGAGAGCTGAGATTTCTTTTTCTGCTGATGGGTTTCCAGTAAGGAATACCCATTCAGCTGGTGCAAGGACAAACGATACATATCCATACATGTATCCTGAGAGCTAATACATCAAGCTTTGGTTGAATTTAATTTCTGATATGACCAAAAATCTACTACAACAGACTTCTAATGTGTTTTCTCCCTTGTAGGATTGCTCCTAGACTGAACCCCGATCTGAACAAAGAAACTTAAGAAATGAGCAGGGCCGACCATTGTATTGAGGAAGAGAAACAGGTGGAAGTGTTGGCACACCTCTTTTATAATAACCTAATGGTTACAGCACTCTCCCATAAATTAATAGCTCGGCTTAAATTTCCAGTCTCCATCCTTCTGCTCAAGCTGTGCAGGAAAGAATTCAAGATTCATTAGGTTAGAGACAGCTCAGGAACTTAGTAGGCTGTGACTATTAGTTTACTACTGGGCTCTCAGGTGAGAGGAAGAAGTCCTGGGTTCCAGCCCCAACTCCGAGAACTATGGGGATTAGCCAGAAGGAAAAACAAGACCTAAATTTCACCCTTCTAGAGCTTTACTCAGGGTGGCAGGGAGGTATATCCATCCAGTTATGATCCACTTTAAGCCTTCACCTGCAGGTAAACAGGGATTCAACCCAGGACTAGATTGGACTCTAGTCTCTTGGGGGCAACTGTCAGAAACTCATCTGGCAGAAGGAGGAACTGAACCCAGGCCTCCTAACTCCTGGCAAAATGTCCTAAGAGGAACTGAACCCAGGCCTCCTAACTCCTGGGAAAGTGTCCTACCCACCAGCCTCTTCTACAGGATTTCCTCTTATTTTCCTATTCTGTTTCTTCCAAAAATCTCTGTTCTGGTCAGTGCAATTTCCAATGCCTGCTTTTCTTTTCCAAGTGCTCTGAAGACACCTACTAGACTGAACTCTTCATGGGACTTAGGTAGAACAACCTAAGCCCTTTCTAGATCTCCGTCAGGGTTGGGTATGATTAGATATTGAGTTCTTCAGCTGTCAGAACTGACACATTTCTGTGCATGAAGCCGAGATTTCAAGCATGTAGGGAACCTTCATGGCAGAAACTTTAAGAGCCTACAGTATTCAAGTACCACCAGGGTTAAGTAGCAGAAGAGCAGGGAGTGTTGGGCTGCAACTTTGGCCTTAGGTGGAATTTAGGTGCTTAAGTCTGGCATTAGGTGCTCAATTTATTATTTTGGACTTAGCCCTAAGCCTCGCTGTTCCTCACAATCACCAAATCCTGGAAGGAAGGAGGGAAGCGGAAGAACGATGTGCTTCCTTAAAAGAATAACCAGTCCCTCTAGAGTATTATAGAACCCACTATTTCATAGTCTTTGCAATACCTACCCAAATTTCTAAAATAGGATATTGACTGCAACACAGAGACTCTGTGCAGAAGTACTCTCATTAGGGGGGGGAAAGCCATGCTACTTGAGGCTGTAAAAAGGATGCAGAGGATACAATGGAGGGAAAACAAAGTACTAATTCTCTTTTGGAAAAAAGACAGAACATGCCAAATATCAGGTAAATTGTGAGACAATAAATATTTAACCTGCACTTGTTTGAGCTGGGACAGTAGTTTATTGTTTTCCTGTTCCTTCTCTTCTGACATCTGTGCTTTGGTCAGAGCATTTTCCAGTGCCTGCTTTTCTTTGTCAAGTTCATCTTGCAGAGCTGAGAGCTCCATCTATAACCACAGAAAGTTTTCAAATTAAGACACAGAGCAGCAGTGGCTCCCACACCAATAATTTGACCTGAATAATAAATATTCTAAATTTTCCCTTAACGGAAATTGTTATAAAAATGGAAGGTTTTTTTTACCGCTATTTCCCAGGAAAATTCAATAGTCAGTAAGTTACAATTCTGTTTTATCAAGCTGTTTGGTTAAAAGAAGTTCAATGGAAAGTGAATGCTTTAAGAAAAGCAATAGAATGAAAAGTGATGTTTTGCTGAAAACCCACTTTTTCATTAAAAAAAAAAAAAAAAGGGTAATGACAAACTTTAAACCAACCCTCTGCTTAACTACCCAAGAGCGTTCTACTGGCATTATCCTTGTCTTTGTCTGAAGTCAGGCATAAGGAACAGCAGAAACTAATTGCTTCATAGAGTCATGAGCATTCACAGGCAACAACCGACTTCATCACATGCCTGTTTGTATAATCAACGTATTTCTGGAGAACCGTAATTTCTACTTTGTTTAAATTCAGATCATATTCTTCATGGACAGTCCCAAAGTATTCTCTATCTTGTATGCAGCATAAAGTTGTAAATCATACTGAAGTGACACCGTCAATCATGCTAGGTACCTTTTTTAGGAAACAACTGATGGCTTAGATAACGCTGGGGACATATTCTGTGTTCTTGAAAGCCAACTTGAAATCAGAGAATTCTGTTTCTGACATAACCGTTGACTTGGGGTGGCTATTAAGCATGTCAATATTGGACTCAGAGGCTCTTTAAAACAAACAAACTTATGACTGATAAAAAAAGCTACCCTGGAAACCCCATGATATTAGCATGCTAAAGGGAAATATTTTTCGGACTATGAACAAAATAACAAATTGGGCTAATTTACTGATGCTTTTTCCAGTCTTATCATCATTTAGAGTCCCACAATTCAATTTTTACCTGACTAAGTTGTTTCAGTCTCTCCAGCTCTTCCTCGTGTTGATTGGCTTCAGCATCTCTGTCTTTCAACTGAGCCTCCAGTTCAGCCTCATATGCACTGAGATCCCCTTGTGCCTCTCTGAGAGAATCATTCATTTCACGCTGCTCGAGGAGTGTGGTTTCTAGCTTTGTAATTTCCTGGAAGAACACATCCAGCTCAGAAACCAACAAACATATTTCATGGATCCATATCATATTCTAGTGCAAACAAATGCAGTACAAGTGTTAGCTAGAGAACATGCCCCAAGAAATCCTGTTTCCTGGCATTCAGGAAGTCAATCATTTATATCACAAGAGTAGTATCTCCTGATCACAGGAGAGCCGGATTCTACCCAGAAGAGCACACAAAGCAACAACAGATGCTACCTGTGCCTGAAGAAGGGTGTTAGTGCCTGAAAGCTTGCAAAAAACAATTTTTCCAACTATTTAATTGGTCTAAGAGAAGGCATCACATTTACCCAAAGAACCTTGTCTGCCTAACTCCTAATCACAGTACTGCTAAGAGAGGCAGGCTCTGCAAAGTCTGCTCACAACAAGAATTCAGCAAACTGTACAGACATGCACTGGAGTTTCAACATTACTCTTTAACAGGACAGTGAAATCAGTTTTTAATAGCAGGCTGATGTACCCATGAGCTTCTTTGTAAATGCAGGAAAGTGCATTGCTTCTTAAAATATTCAGATGACTGTAGACTTTGTAAGTGTTTTACAAGTATTAAAGGCCACATTTTGTTACCCTATTGGAACAGAATTTGGTCTGTAACATTGTTTCACAGTTCAGAATTCAATCCTCTATACTTTCTAAATTTATTCTCTGGGATTTGGAAAAAGATGGTCTTACTTTTCTCATGTTTTCTGCATCCATGGCAACTATTTCCAGCTGGTTTCTTTCCTCTTCTAGTTCAGCCAACCTCTGTAGCAAAGCTGCTTTATCTTTTTGTAACTCCTTACATTCATCATTGGCTTGTTTGGCCTGACCCTTAACACTTTCAAGGTATTCCTGTAGCCCAATGATAATTCCTTCTAAATCCCTCTTCAGTGCTTCATTTGTTGCTATTTGACCTGCACAAGGAACAAAATAAAATTAGTGCACTCAAAAAAAGACATTTATTTCAAAAGTGATCTTCTTGTAAGCATACAAGATGAAAAGAACAGGCATTTTTATTCCTTCAATACAGTTTCCATATTTTTAATCTTCTCTTTATTAGAACACAATATATTAATCTTTTCAAGAAGTTACAAAGAAATAAAACAAAGCAAACTAGTGTTCAGTCACAAAATATCAGTCTCAAGTTCGGAAGCTGCCATAATGGATCTGACCAGAGGTCAGTCTAAATCCAGCAACCATCTCTGACACCAGCCAGTGTCTCCTAATGACAGTTAAGGAGAAGCATCCTCATATGCATTTTCTGTCTGCATTTGTTCTGCTAGAAGGCTTCTATCCTTTAAAATATGCAGTCCACATGAGCATCGTATCCTTTTCGAATCCTACTAAACTGTAGGTCTCAATGGTATCTTGCAATGAGTCACGCACTAATTAGGCTCAGAAGGAATTTCCGAGCCCCACACTGACAAGCACAAATCCATTTGCGTGCACTGCCTTTTTATTTAATCACAACTGTTTGTGTACAAAAGAAGGTATGAAGTGTCTGAGCTTCTTTATAGCATTCCTGACATTATAAACTACCCTGTGTTCTCGCCTTTTAAACTTAAGTAGTTCTTATTTTTTTAGCTTCATTCAGGATGCTTCTGCTCGGTTCAAAAGGAATCGGGACTCGTGGGAGAGGTGGTATCTTCTACTAGACCAACTAGAATTTTGCAAAATGTCTTTAATTGCAAACCTGGATACTCTGCTCAGTTCAGTCACTCATGTGAACTCCCTATATTTGTTATCTCTTTGAGATGACAATGAGAATTTGTAACACAGTGGGCTCAATCAGTCCCTTGACGTACACATGCTGTGTTCAGAACCTGCGAGGGGGATGCTGAGATTCTTTTCTGCTCTCACAAAATGCTATGGACCCAGCTCCAATACAAATTAGAGCAATTCTTAGTTCCAATTTTCACTGGCTGGAATAGCCAATGTTCGTGGCCTGAAAATCACCTAGGGTATGTTCTGTTCCTCCTCCTGAGGAGGTAAAGGGGGGGAGGAGGGGGATAGGAAGAAGACTAGGAGTTGACCCAACTATGATAACAGTAATATCTAGTTTGCTTTATTTTTGTCTTTTTCCATATATTGCGCAGATATTTTTAGTAGGCCGTCCATAACAATGGCTACATCTTTTTTTCACCTGGGTAATTACAATTAAGTTAGCTGAATCTGCAGCTTTTAGTTAGTTAGGTATATTTTATTAGTTTCTTTTTTTTTTTAAATTGAGTGTCTCAACAATAGTTACTTCCTGAACCAACTCATGCATGTTACCTAGGAATAAGTTTAAAGTAACACATGGAAGAGAAGCAACAGTTTACAGTTGGAAAAAGCTTCTCTCATATGTGTTATGGATAGTTCTCTCATATGTGTTATAGGATAGTTGAAATGGCCATTAGGACACCAATCAGGACTCGTGATAGAGGTGATATCTTTTATTAGACCAACTAGACTTTTGCAAAAAAAATTATTTAATTGCAAGATTTCGGGTAATTACAGCCTGAATACCTGACACATTAGGAGACCTAAATTCTATTCCCAGCTCTGTAATTGGCTTGTAAGCTGATATGAGAACTTCCTTCCCACTTTGTGCATGACTTTCTACATCTGAAAGAGAGATAATGATACTAATCTCTTTTGTAAAACACTACATACAAAGCTAGATATTAATTATAAACACACTGTTGTCTGCAATCTCCCTCTGCATGCATCCTTTCAAGTGTCCTTTCCTTGATCTGAAGTGACAGGTCTAGTTATTAACTGTACATTTTCTAGCTTACTGGAAAAATTGTGAACTTTCACTTTATTGTTTTAAATTCAAGAAACAACACAAGAGGATTATTGTTATGGTCACCAAAAAGAGATCTTTCTACAAATTAATCTTCTGCCCTCATGCTACTTTTTGCCTTTGTTCTAAGCATTGGAAATAGTGTCCTGTCTAAAACCAAAAGACCCCTCCCAGGTTTCTGTGCCTTCTGTACAGTATTTTACATATCCAACACAAACATAGAACTAAACACTATTTCTCATTCCTCTAGCCTCATTTTCCCTCTTCCTAGTGATATTTTTTCCTTTTGGACTAATTTAGAACTAATTACGAGCTCTGTTCAGTGAAGACCAACAAGGAATTGGGAGAGTTGTTTAGGAAGCAACATTCTCCAGAGACCAAGTCTGCTTTACCATCTGTGAGCTGCTGCTCCAAGTCCTTAATTTCCTCAGCTTCCCTAGCGATCCGAGAAAGCATCTCATCCAGGCGACTTTCAAGTTCTTTGTAATGCTTGTTCATCATATTAAGTTGCTGCTCTTTACTTGCTTTCTGAGCCTTCATGTGAGCCTGTGAATTGAAGTTATACAGATAAACCTTCAAAATTTATCAGTAACAATTAAAAATGTTGAACTCAGTCTTTTAACTCAGTGACATGTCTACATGAGATGCTTTACTGTGCAGCAGACTAATCTATTGCGCAGAAAAGCATCACTGTCTACATGTGCAGGTGCTTACTGCACCGTAAATTAGTCTACTGCACAGTAAAAACAAATAGCATTAATTGCACGTACAGACACGCCCGGTGTTTCTGAAATACCCTACAGCTGGAAGTGTGATGCTCTAACAATTTCTTCCTTCTCGTAGCATGTCATTTATTGTTACTTCTTCAAAAGGCACTCACCTCCAATAGGTAAGCTCTTTCTAGCATACAAATCCTATAATATACAGCAAATTTCCTGTTACTTCGAGGGGAGAAGGACATACGTATCTGTAATAGCCCTGAAAACATCTTTTTTCAACTTCTATTCTCACAAATTCATTAGCCTACTCAAGCCAAGAAAGTAAGAACAGGACTGCCCTCAGAATCTGATAATCCCACTCTACTCCTTTATGCAGGATAAACTCCTCGTGTCCTTCATCATCCTATTTTCCATCTATGGTAGCGAAGCAAGCTATCTCCCAGAAAGCACTACCAGTCTCCAGTTTACGGGAGAAAAATAAAAAAAGCTTAATAACTGAGCTTAAATATTCTACATTAAATTACTGAATACAACTAACAAGTCAGCCCAGTTTCACCTTTCTTTCATTTTTATTTTTAAAGTTGAAGTTTCCTAGGAGCAGCCACATTCAATTAATCTGCAGTGCCCCCAAAACAACTGAAAACAGTGACAAGTTTCTGATCTACCATGTGCTGTGCAACTTGTTTTTATAACTGAATGCAGTTCATGCGGATAATATTGTTGATCTGGGTTACTTGTAATTAAATTTCAAAACACAACATACGTAATTTCAGAAACTTTCATAATACAAAGTTTAATTTTTTAAACTACAGGAAGCTTTACAGGCTTCCTGAACAGGCTTTTATCTGGCTACTTATGTTTTAATTCATTCCTCAAATTCTACAATGTATATTTTTTAAAGTTGTGTTACTGTAAGACATTTACATTTTCAAATAAAGCCATAAAAACATATGCTTAACTTATACAGCCATTTTGCTTTTCACGAAACTGCTGTGGCAGAAATAAATCATGTAACACAGTATTTCTAAAATATGCAGTTACAGCCCTTTGCATTCACATGAAAACAACTCAAAATCACCACCTGTCAAAAAAGGATTACATGGTTTTAACAGTTTTAACTTCCAAAATATACTTCTACCAAATAAAGTCAAATACAGCTGCAGCTGTTGAATCCTTATGGTGCTGCAGCTGTTGAATGTCACAAGAGCATTGTTAAGAAAAACACTTACAGCTTTGTCTTTGTCTTTCCTTCCTCTGAAGTCATTTGCAAAAAACCCCACCCGTAACTTAGAATTCATGTTACTTAAAAACAAAGAACATAATCACAGAAAGTTGCTTAAATAGACCATGGTTTCTCTTCTGTCTTCTCTCTTCCAGTCTTCTCTGTTTGACAACGACACGGGCGAGCATGTGGTTGGAAACCACGGGAAGTTGCAGAGGCTCAGAGTTTCTTTGTCATGACTGCAGAGTAGTGACATGCTCTCCGATCACTGCTTGTCTCTGCAAGCTCAACTCTGCCCTGTTTGCTTTAAATCACAACACAGGAAGCTATGTCCACAGCCAATCCACTACGGAGTTAGAAACAGTCAATCTACCCTCCAAGAGGCTGGGCTTAGTCTTTAGAGAAGCCTGCTTCCTTTGGTTTAAGAAATCTTCCCCAAACACAGAACATTACAATCCGCCTATTTTCTTAACTGTCAGTTTAAAATACATTTTAAATCAGAGCCTCTGGCCCTCAGGCAAAAGCAGGAAATCAGGCCTGGGGATACTTTGTGTCTATATTGACATAAATAAAAAAACCCAGCTTGAATGCAAATACAGAAAGCTAGACAAGGTTCTTAAGGTAAATGTGACCTCTTTTATTAGACCAACTAAACAGTTGAAAAAATTATTCTTTGCACGCTTTTGGGTACAAACATTGGGGGGGGGGGGGAAACAAGCTTTCAGGCGTTTGTACCCAAAAGCTTGCAAATAATTTTTTTTTCCAAATATTTAGTTGCTCTAATAAAAGATATCACATGTACTTTAAGAACCTTGTCTGCCTATGCTCTTAGACCAACACGGCTACAACCAACACCTCTGAATACAGAAAGCTATTATTTAAAAAAATAAGTCATATTTTAGGCTGCACATTTCAAACTGAATGTACTTTAATTTCACTTCATATTAATTTAAATCTCCGGTATACAACATCTGCTGGGGTTAGAAACCACAATTATGCTAACGGTTACATTTTTATGGACTGCTTTTAAAGCGATAAAAGAAATGGGTCTATCAAGATAGATTTCTTGGAATATTTGCATTTGCCTCCAGGTATTCAGAAACTGAAACCTCTTCTTCAACAATACAGTAAGCATAGGCCTGTATGTTCCCCCTGCTGAGAGTGGAAGGCTCAAGTACATTACTTTTACAGAGACAGGTCCTGTGCAGGGAAAGATAAAAGGCAACTGTTCATTAACTTCTTTGTTCCACAGCCACTATGCTCCCTACTGTACAAAAGCAAGAGGATATAGTAAAGGCCGGAGAAACAAAAGCCATACCGATGTTTTCTCCAGGCCAACTGCAGCAAAAAACTATCAGTTGGGCCACTTGAGCAGACTGAAGAAAGGGTTTTTGATAGTGGTGTACTATCCATGAACATGTACCATGAAAAAGCAACTCCAATGGTATATGTATAGTAGAATTAGTCCACTTACTGGTCACTAAAGTTCTCAGAGTATGCTCCAGAGAACAATACATTATACTACAGGGATTCTTGAATTATTAAAAGCATTTTTCCCCTGAAAGGGACATTGTGCCCTTGAGCACAAGCAGCTAATCATGGAAACAGTTCTTATAAGGGGAGATGTGAATTCATCTTCATTAGAGTCTGTGCAAAAAGAGATCCAAAGCAGTAACAGCAGCTTTTGACTTGTCTAGAATAGCTGAACTTCCAGAGATGCCAACAATACATCTTCTTACAAGCTACTGCTTGTGGTTTAGTTGAACACTTAGTTCCACAAATACATTTATTAAAGAAGGAACTTGTATTTTACTTTGTCAACATTTTAAAAAGTAACTAGAGCGAGCAATTGTTGTATGCAACTCAGAAATTAAGTGTTGCTAAACAGCATGAAGGACACATGCTTCTAGGTGTAACTGGATTCTGATTTATTAAAATACATCAGAAAAATACTTAACAAAAGGATACCCTCCAACACAACAAAAAACAGCATGGAAAAGCTAATTTTTGAATTGTTAGTAGTTAACTTACATGTCTTGGATCTTTAGGATCTAAAGAATCTATAAAGCTCTGCAAGTCTTCGATCTCCTTCTGCTTTTTCCCCATTTCTCGTCTCTGCTTTTCCATCTGTTTTTCCAATTCCAAAGCTTCATCTCGTAACTGATTTAAGAGCTGTATTTTAACACTCAATTGCTGTTGAAGAGTTTCTGTATTGGCTTCTGAAATCTGAAGATGGAGCATGGGAAAATGCAATTAAACTTGAAAATAAACGCCTGCTTCAGAAAGTTTCATTTGATAAATGCGTCACATATATTAGACTGCAGTTATCTAACCTAATGTGTTGTCTAAAAACACTGATCCCTGAAGTTTTGAGTCCTGGTTGTTTTGCTCAGCTGGCAAGAGTTTATTGTATTTTCTCTCTCTCAAACTATAAAGACTGGAACAAACTATACTTGGAATTGCCTTTAATAATTATATAACCTTGAGTCTTGGCCTACTGTGCCAGGAAATCGCAGTCATGGTGTTTGGCTAGTTATCTTAAAAACCTCATTTAAATATCATTTGAAAAAAATCTAAGGGAAAGTTAAAGCGTTTGAATCACTTATAATTGCTTCTTGCTGTCTTAAATAGTCTACAATAAATTTGTCAAGCTATGGCTTTTTAAAAGAAAAAAAAATGTTAAATTGCTGGTGTGTAAACGTGCATAGCAATAAGATCAGTGAGAACAGTTGAGGACACAAACCAAAAAGCTGTAGATACACTTTTAAATATGCTGAAACATCCTTTCTGGTCTTTCTATTTTTTGTGCAGCTACAATGTTTACTTCTGAGTTTAACTCATTGTTATTCCAAAATATGAGAGTACCAGACTGCATTGTAAAAGACTTACTTTAATTCACCAGAGTATTAGCATCATGTGAATCCAAGAAACATGTGAGTTTATACCCTCTTCATTATATGAAGGCATAGCATCAGCACTGTTACTTTCTGCCGAGTCTACTAAAACTACCTAACTCCTGAGACAGTGCACATACTGCTGGCAACGGGCACTGAAAAAATGCGGTCAGGATTGAAATCCTGTTTCGTAAAGTGGGGCTCTTATTGGCGATTACTGATATGGACACATACGGCAACATACACATTTCCGTTCAAAGTCCTTTGCACAAAAGCAACAACCACTTAATCTTCTGACAAACTGGACTGTAATTTCAACTGCATGTACTTTATGTTTTAAAGTTATCTAGCTCCTCAACATGAGTTCTCAGGGATGCTCAAGCTGACATCTCAGAAGTCGCACAAGTTGTCTTAACCACCCTGACACTGCACCCCTCATTCATAGGCATTTAAGACACTTTGAGAAGTGAAATGGGAAGAGGACACTTCAGTTTTCTATGCCTACACTGCTTCAACATGTTTATTTTCTCTCCTGATAAGGTTGTTGGTTTTTACATACTTTTTTCTGAGCCAAAGCATCCTGAAGTTGTTTAAGTTCCACTGTTGCTTTCAAAACTTGTTGTTCTCCATTTACTATTTCATTTTGCAATTCTGCTAATCTTCCTTGCGCTGCAAAGAAATAAATCCCCACCACAGCACGTTTAAATAATTTCTAAGAAGCATTGATGTATATGCACTATATCCTATCATGCTACCTTAAGCAACATCAGTCTCTCTGCAATCCTCAGAGCTGTGTGGGGATCGGACAGGGGTAGCAATGACCTTGCTGAGCCCCCCTCACTGCCGAAAAAAGAAAGTGCAACAGTGCAAAGTTGTATCCACAGCTGGTATGGAGGGTCCATGTGGGCAGGAGACCACTTTTCCCACTCTCTCCCCTATCACTCCCCAACCCCCTCAACTTTCTCAACTTCTTTCACCTTACAGCTCACAGCTGGAAGAAGGAGAGAAATCTCTTGGTGGGTACATCTGAAGCCTATAAATGAGTCTTGCTCTTAGCACAACATTTTTAGCAACTAAAACCAATAATATTTTCCTCCCAAGTCCCCTCATGCAAAATTCTCTTATTTAACTCCTTATTTTTGGGTAATTTTAGAGGCCACCTTGATTATAAAGTTTTAGCTGTTATTATTATTATTATTATTAAGTTCAGTCTGAATCAAAATGTTCCTCTGGCAGCAGATAAAGGGAACCAGGTTTGTATACATCTCAATAACAGTGATGGTGACAACAACAACCAAAACAACAATAATAATAGTAATAATGATTTTACTTGTGAAAACTTCCAAATTTACCTTCTTGTATCTTTTTTTCTTTATCTTCTAGTTCTCTATCTAGAGTTTGATGAAGCTGTGATTTAAGTTCTTGGTTCCTATGTAGATCATCTTCATCTGCTTCTATTTTTCTAACTTGAATTTGCTGCGCTTTATTAGAAATGTAACTTTCTCTGGTATACATGTTTCTCTTATATCTAGCTTTACCGATGTAAGGACTTTCACCAGGTACATCATCAAGTTCAACATCCTGAAAGATGACATTTAACAATGTATATTACATTATTTCATATGCTGGGAAATAATAATTTTGCATATTTAAGCTTGAATTTAACCTACGTTGAAGGGAGACTAACTTGAAAACTTGACAGTTTAAAAATAAGAGTTAAATGAAGTTTCAAATGTTATGCATACCTTGATTCCTTTTACAAATGTATCTGGTTTTACAGTGAATGCTTTCTGTTTTTAAAATGTTTCCCTTCCTGGTTGTTACATAGGAACGGGTCATACAAACAGTATTGGGGGGGAAGGAAAGAGAACAATGTCTGTAGTTCCAGTCCTGCAGGCATTTTAATTGTCTATAATGACCACACAGGTTACCCTCGCTTTATGCAGGTTCTGTATGTGCAAATTTGCTCTTATTCAGTGACCCTTTTTATACCAAAAATTCATTATATGCAAGGTAAATTCACTCTTATATGATCACTGTGGTGGAAACCTGCAGTCAGCTGCTTTATGCAGCGTATTGTGGGAGTGACACCATAGACAGAGGAAATACAAATTATTTGCGGGGGCTGAGCCGGGTGGTGGTGCCTAAGCCAGGCTGCAGCATTGGCTCCTGCAGCCCAACCTGGTCTGGCCCCATCAGCATGGCGCCCCGGGAGCAGCAAGCCATGAAGCCGCCCAGCAGCAGCACCCACGGCTGCCGCTCAGGGCAGTTGGTGCCCATGTTTCTGGAGTTGCAGCTGCCCCAGGTACGGTGCGACACCATGTCAGTACGGTCGAGGTCTTGGAACGGATCCCTATTTGTTACATTGTTAAGTGGGTTCCCTTTATGCGAATTTGAGCTATGCACCATTTTCCAGGAACACGTGTACAGCGTAAAGCAAGGGAAACCTTATTCAAATATCATCAACTGCAACAACTAATACTAGCTTAAGGAGTTGTGTTTCTTTCTTATGTTTAGATATACTTATAACATTAAAATAGTGTAAACCATGAGATAAATGTGATTTTTTTTAAAGTTGTTACCTTTTAAGCTTTAGCAAAAATTGCGTTTTTAACAATTAAAATGTATTGCTCCACGTATACTTTTATTGTGCGCTCTCCTTCAATGCCTATGTCTCTAAAGGAGAAGGTCAAATTCTGAACCAAAAAGTAGCTATTCTTGGGAGTAAGTACACCACAGAGGATGGAAAACCTGACCCCTTAGATCAACAGGAGCTTTGGCACTGAGTTCAGGGAGCCAGAAGTTCACACAGAGTGAGCAAGAGCTGCAGAATGAAGCCCAGAGCGGGGAATATCCTTTGCATGATTATCATTAGTGACCGATGCTGTATTTGTTTGCTCCATTAAGCTAAACAAAGTATTTGCATTATGTACATATTAAAAACTATATAATATTAAGAAATATTAATTTTAATCTCATCAAGAAAACACGCGGGCTAAAATGATTAAACTTATTTAAAATCAAAGTTACAGTTCCATTTATTTATAACAAGGATCCATATGTAAAGCAAGATTTACGAGTGGGCAAAAAATATAACCTCCTTCACAGTTTGAGAAACACAAAATTCATATTTGAAAATATTACCTCTGATGGAAAGTAACCCAATGGCTCAAATTTGGCATCAATCTTATAAAAAGCCAGTTCCTGCTCCAATTCATATTGCTTCTGGCAGGCTCGGGTTAACTCCACAGTCTTCTGCTTTAGCTAATGGCAGCATGAAACAAAAAGAAGCACTGTCATCAAGAAATGACCACAATGAATTGCAAGATACATTTCAAATTAACAGCGTATGATGTGTGTATGAAGTACACAGTCATTCCAAAGCCTTTGCAGTGATATAAAAAAAAGTTATAAATTTTTTTGTGGCAACAGGTGTAACACAAGGATGTATTTTACCTTAGCTTTAAATTACTATAAACAAGGGCAGACAAAACCACCACAATTTCAGTACAAATGATCACATGAAGGTCCTTTGAAACTTCATTTCATACGATTCAAACATAGCTAACCGTTGCAATAAATGGCTTCGTCAAAGATTTGTCATTCATGGTAAGGTTCTGCAACTGGTCATTTAGCAGAAGGCAACCTAAACTGTACCCAATTAAATTTTAAAGAACGTTAACAGTTGAAGAATGATAATGATATGGTTCATTGTGTGACTCAACACACTTACTTTTTCTTTTTTTGCATTGACAGGAATGTAAAATTCTCCTAATTGAAAAGATACTATTTACAGTACTTTAAAACAGTAAATATTAATGTATTTTAAACCTTTGCCATTAATCAACTTTTAGTAGAGGTCCATCATGTGATTTTTTTTGGAGGGGGGTGGGGGGACCATATTTTCATGCTGAAGACCTGAAGGAGAGCATGCAGCAAGGCCTCAATAGAAAGCAGAATACAGGACTAATGGAGTGAAAAGGGGAAATAGAATAGACAGGAATACGCAGTAGGCTTAACAAAATGTTTAAAAATTAAAGTATTTCATGCCATGCAAAAAAAATGGTCAAATTCCAAAAATGGAAGATGACTGAGAGAATAAATTACATCAAATGAACAGTCTCATTGGAACCTTTTATGTTTAGACACTACTGACCATGCAAGCAATTCTTATGCACAATAAAAAAAACCTGTGCAGTCCAGCTGTACATGGGGACTACCTTTAGTGAGGAATAAAGGCTCAGCAGAAAGGGAACTGTGACAAACCAAGATACCAGCTAAAGGGAGAAAGAAGCAAGCAATGTTTGTCATCTAAAAGGTCATCTAAAAGTGGGTTAAGTTGTAATACATACTCTGCTAAACCCTGCTATACTTGAAAACTACTTTTCATAAACCTGCTGCTGTTTAGAAGAAAGTGTGTTGGAAATATTTATAAAAGTAAACTACTTAATTAACTTTATGGGAAAATTAAGCAATAATATTTTAAAGGACATGCCATATGGATGTGCATGTCTGAAAGACGAGTTTAATTATATATATATCTATATTACTTGGAACTTACCATACATATGAATGAATTAATTATTACTTGGCAATATAGAGCATCACATTCTAGGAGCCAATTTTGTAAATGTTGTATTTTATATCCAACAAAGATTAAATAAATTTCAAGATTTTTTACATTATTACAGCAGCAGCTTAAAAAATAGTGCAGAAGTTTCAGTATGCTGGAAGTTTAGCAGCTCTGAGGAACTTAACCTCTTATTGTTGCACAGAATTTTAAAACAAAAAGGGACTAGAGACAAATAGCTTTTTTACTACTAAAGCAATAGAAAATATACAACATTTTATACCTTAAAAGGCTTAATCTCATGAGAAATCTGTATATCCCAAAAGGCCTATTTCCATGTCAAACTAAGTGGCAAGACAACTAACATCCATTTTTGTTGGTAGCTTACAGGCTACTTAAATAGTACATAGGATAAAGAGTTGTAGGAGCAATCATGGGGGCAAAAATGTAAGCGCTGTTGAGAAGGAAAGAGAGAAAAATGGGGCAAGTCATGCGCTAGGACACAAATGTTTTATTCTAAATTAAATCAAATTGAGTTATTGTTTCTGCTATTTACATGATTTTGAGGTACTGACTGCAAAATTAGAGCATAACTATTCCTTGGCAACACCAGCAAAGCATCCTCCGGTTAGCCACTTTTTCCTAATATGTACATTACTTTAGCTTTTTCGAGGGAACACCATCCAAAGACATCTGAAGCATACTAGTGGACTGTTGGCTTTAGTGAATCTACTGCATGTGAAAGGTGCCCAAGTCAACAAATCTGCAAACTGAAGTCCTGTCTCTACCTGCCTAATAAGCTTCTCCAGGCATCTTTACCTTGCTGAACCCTTGAAGTTTGAGGTTTTCTGATATGGTGAGGTTATTTGCTATGATCCATCCCTTCTTTTGCCTCTATGCTAGAACTGCTACTTGGGATAGTGCTAGTTTTTGTAATATAGATTTTGCCCATTGCTCCAAGACATGGATGAAAAAGCCACCTGCCAGATGAGAATGCCCTTCAAGCCACAGAGATCCAAATACAAATTTAAACATAAATTCCTAGCATTTAAAATTCACAGTTATCTATGAATATGTAAAAAAATATTATTCCCAAATATATCTGATGCAAAGTGTTAGTTTACCAGTTCATTTTTGGTGTCTAGGTCCCTCTGAAGTTCTTTATAACTTTGTTTCTGTTGCAAGGCCTTCTCTTTTAATGATCTGTTCGCTTCATCTTGATGTTGAAGTTGCTCAAGCACTTGGGACTGTTTAATTTTAAGGTCCTCCATCTCTTTTACTGTTTTCTCCAAATCTCTTTCTAACTTTTCTATCTCTTCTATAAAACAAAATAAAGACATTCATCTTCATTTTCCACATTTTCTTCTATCTAATATATGATAACCAGAAAAGAAGTATCCTATAAATCTAATAATTGCTGTAAAGAATCCATGCAAATGATACGAATAGTTAAAACTGTTATTGAAAAAATTCTCAAGTGACTTATATTGCCATGCTTCCTAGATATAATAAGAATACTCTCTCAAACCCACAATGGCTCTTTTTGTTAGCTATCACTACATACATGCACAGGGACTGAACCATTCTGGATTACAAAGTAGATACTTTCAGTGGCCCATTTCTACCCCTTGCAAGAGGACATTTTGCACAGTCAAGAGCAAAAATTAAGACTCTAAGATGGCTTGCTCAAAGAGGGTCAGGGATGCCATCATTAAACTTCTCTCTGCTTCTAAGAAGGGGAAAAAAGCTTAAGTTATAGCCCTCTTCTTCCTCAAACTCTCTGACCAAGCACAGAAATGGAGTAACCATGAACTAGACATAGTATATGTTTGTTACCCTTATCAAGTATAATAATTTAAAGTGAAATCAGAAACAAAACTATGCTTGTGACCTTATGATGGATACAGTCAGCCTTTTAAACAATGGACTTAAATAAAAGGACAATTCTGTTTTTGCTTTTAATAACCTCCCAGCAGTGCAAAATTCTAACATATTTCTTTTCTTCTTAGAGGAACTTGTGAATGGTCTTCAGAGGAAATAGCTGTTTATGAGAGATTAGCAGTGAACTTTAATAGTGAGTTTAAAATTCAGGAGTATCATCCATGTTACTCAAAACCTTATTTAACAATCTGTCAAATAACTGCCTCAATTACAAAGCTTTCCATCTACATTTGGTAGAGTTCACAGTACTTCTCACGTATCATAGCAATTACCTAAATCGAACCTCTCGAGAGCCTCCTGCCTGTCGTGATTTGTCACTGGTTGTCCCTCAAGGTTTTCTAGTGACCTCAGGTGGAATATGGTATACAGGTGATAATGAGGCAGATTTACAACTGGATTGTTTGCCAGAAACAGAGAAGTCAAGTCTTTTAGTGGCTTCAGCTTAGCTATGTCATGGAGCTAAATCAAAGAAAAGAAGATACCATGAGTAGACAGCTGTTTTAGGTCAATCATTTCCTTACCACCTATTTGCTGGTGTTAAATAAAATAAATTATCACATAGTGAAGGATACATTTTGTTTTTATACAAAAAGAGGGTGCACAGAACAAAAGTGTAGAGCAATATCAGAGCACAAGTTGCATACTCTTGTCCTGGAATTAAACTGTTCCTGATAGGAAGCTGGCAAGTGTGGCTTTGGAAATTCCAAATAGTTGTTACTTGAGTCAGGTTCAGAGCTTAGGAGGGTCCAGCACTCCAGTCAAATGGATCATAGGAGTTCACAGGGAAAGGGTGCCCCAGTCCCAAGCAGCTATCTATATAGTGGGCTGACCCTATTCATCCACTAGTAGCCATGGCTCCTTCAAGAGCTGCGCTACTAGCATGTGAGTTCTCATCACAGCTAACCTCAGAAGTTAGCTGGAGAGGGTTCAGAGAAGGGCCACTCGTATGGTTAAGGGCCTACAGACCAAGCCCTACGAGGAGAGACTAGAGAAACTGGATCTATTCAGCCTCCGCAAGAGAAGGTTGAGAGGCGACCTTGTGGCTGCCTATAAGTTCATCACGGGGGCACAGAAGGGAATTGGTGAGTATTTATTCACCAAGGCACCCCCGGGGGTTACAAGAAATAATGGCCACAAGCTAGCAGAGAGCAGATTTAGATGGGACATTAGGAAGAACTTCTTCACAGTTAGAGTGGCCAGGGTCTGGAACGGGCTACTCTTTCCTGCTTATGCAGGGGGTCGGACTCGATGATCTATTGAGGTCCCTTCCGACCCTAACATCTATGAATAAGTTACTCTAATCATGTCTCAAACAAGGAAAAGGTGACTTTTGTTCCTGTGCTTTCCATAAGACATAGTGCTAACCTGAGCTAATTTCAAGTGGATGCACAGTCCATGAAGAACTGGAATGGAAACCATGAGAAAAAACCCTGTCCATTTCCATTAAGTTTTCCCTCATCTTGCAAAACCTTGCTTTGTCCTGACTAACTAACAGTTTTAAAACTGAATGCCTTGTGACAGAGGAAGGTTTTTCCTGATTACACAGTGAGCAGCCTTGTGAAGTTGATGGTAAATCAATTACTGCTGTACCTTTTTC